GACTCAAATAACCTGAAGGTGTCTCTATTCATACCAAGAGGCACATACTGTCAAATGTAGAACATTTGTACATTCAGAACTTTTGGCAGACATTTATTCCAGTCAGCCAGAGGACTTTTTCTTTAGCCACCCCAAAACTGTGGAACGACCTGCTGGAAGAGATCCGACAGCTGAACACAAATGGCACTGAAGACCAGTCTCTTAAAGCAAGCTTATCGAGACATTTTTTAAATTGTTAATTTTAAACGTGGATTGTTTTAATATGTTGTCATTTTAAATTCATGTGTATTTTAACTGATATTGTTCACCTGTTCAGAAGTTGTTCCCTTACTCAATCCGTGGGGAAAGGCAGGTAAGAATAATAATAAAAAATATTATTTGATAATGCACCCCCTCTTAGGTTTATTTAATAATACTAGTATAATCATAGTTATTATTATTGAATAAACCTAAGAGGGAGTGCAGTATCAAACAATATTAATTAACAAAAACAACAGTCAGATCAAAATGTGTGGAAAAAAATAGAAGTGTTCAAATCAGCCACTGAAAAGAGGATGCCATCCTTTCATTTTTGCACACATAATATAGTACTATTATATTATTATTGTAATTATGTATACAGAAAGGAAAGGGTGGCATCCTCTCTCCAGTGGCTGGTTTGAACACTTCTAATCCCAACATTTTGATCTGGCTATATTGTTATTGGTCCAAAAGACACCGCTTTAACTTCCTTGGCTCAATGCTAGGAAAATCTGGCAACTAAGTTTTGTGAGACATTTAGCCTTCTCATTCAGAGGCACTCTGTTGCCACAAGGAAACTACAATTCCCAGGATTCCCTAACCGAGCAAGGGCAGTTAAAGCGGTGCCAAACTGGATTATTTCTGCAGTATGTTTTGGACCTTTGCTAATAAAATAATAAATAAATAAATAAATTCAGCTCTTCTGGCAGATATTATTATTATTAAATAAAATTTAGTATTTTGTTTTAATGTTAATATATAATATCACTTGTAGATTCAGCTCTTCTGGCAGACATTATTATTCTAATAATATAAAATTTAATATTTTACTTTAATGTTAACATAACAACATTTGTAGATTCAGCACTTCTGATAGATGTTATTATTAGTATTAAATAAGATTTAGTAACTTTATTTTAACGTTATTATTACTGCTGTTGTTGCTTATTTCATTTGTATGCTGCCTTTCTCCTAGAAGGGACCCAAGGCGGCTCACTGGTTAAAAAAAAAAAGCTTTAAAAAAACATTACAATAAAAACAAAATATTTTAAAAACTAATCTAAAAACCGCATTAACTACATTGTTTGATAGCGCGCCCTCTCTTAAGTTTACTATATGTTTGTTTTTACAAACCAACCAACCTCTCTATATAGCCTGGGCTTTGCCACAAGGGACGGTGGCCGGGAGGGCCCTTCTTTTCTCTCCTTCTCCGCCGAGGACAATGGAGGCTGGGCCGGCCGCCATTTTGTAGACGACGACGCCACGCGGACGGAGCGACCGAGGCAAGGAAGGAGGGACTGACAGGCCAGCCCCGGGCGCTCCTTCCTTCCTTGGCCTCAGCCGCTCCTGCTTCCTCAGCTGTATCCTCACTGCAGGGACAACCCGCTTCGACACCGCTTCCACTGCTCAGTGCCATGGAATCCTGGGACTTGTAGTTTCTTTGTGGCATCCACACCGCACAAGAAACCCCACTTCGGCAGCCCTTTCAACCGCCCTGGCTCAATGCTACCAAATCCTGGGATTATTTGTAATTCCGGGCGACGCTTGACCTTCGCTGGCACGGCGAACTACAAATCCCAAGAATTTGTAGCATCCAGCCACGGCAGGTTTTTTTTTTTAAAAAGCGTTACCAAACAGGGTAGTTTCTGCAACGCGGATAGTGCCACAAGGAAACCTCAATTCCCAGGATTCCACAGCAGTG